AGCAATCAGAAGGTAAGTGTTCATAATGTGTTAAAGTGCACAAGAAACATGAAGCTTCTGTACAGAACCATTGCGTTGTATCCATGTAATTTTGCTTCAAACCCAAAGCATAATATGTCTGTCTGTTTGCTCAGGTCTGTTTTGGTTGAGAAGTTTTACAACGTTTAACGTTTTTTTTTTTTTTTTTTTTAAACATTTCCTACCCTGAAAATGTGAATGAGAAAAAAACTAATCAGCAGGACTGGGTTCAAACCATAAAGCTTATAGAGTTTCAGCAGTGTTTGCCTTTCCACTGCTCTGGTATGCTATAATTTTGGCATCAGTAATGAAGCGAGGCGATGAAGGAGACACTGTCTCATTAAGGGGAGGACGTGTGTGTAAATTTGACTGTGTTGTTGTGGGTAGGAAGCAGTTGCACTGCCAGCTGGAGCCGACCACTGTGGATGGCAGAAGTCTTGCTTCCAGATCTCCAACACTTTGTACCACTATAGTGAAAGAGCAGTTAGATGCACTTACAGCCTTTGAAATTATTAACTAGAGATGCAGCGCTATAAAAATGATAGCCTATATTATAAATCAGTAATTTGAGTTTGAGACCCCTGCTGTTTATGCCCGGTTTTGGATTTCCTGTGCCGTGTTTCAATTCACAGTGAACATTATCATGAATGATTGTTTAAATAAACCACAATCCGAAGGTAAGTGATCATAATGTATTAAAGTGCACAAGAATCATGAAGCGTCTGTACAGAACTATTTCGTTGTATCCATGCCATTTCGCTTCAAACCCAAAGCACAATATGTCTGTATGTTTATTCAGGTCTGTTTTGGTTGAGAAGTTTTACAACATTTAACATGAGAAAAAGGTTTTTTTTTGTTTGTTTTTTTACATTTCCTACCCTGAAAATGTGAATGAGAAAAAAACTAATCAGCAGGACTGGGTTCAAACCATAAAGCTTATAGAGTTTCAGCAGTGTTTGCCTTTCCACTGCTCTGGTATGCTATAATTTTGGCATCAGTAATGAAGCGAGGCGATGAAGGAGACACTGTCTCATTAAGGGGAGGACGTGTGTGTAAATTTGACTGTGTTGTTGTGAGTAGGAAGCAGTTGCTCTGCCAGCTGGAGCCGACCTCTGTGGATGGCATAAGTCTTGCTTCCACATCTCCTTCACAACACTTTGCACCACTATAGTGAAAGAGCAGTTAGAAGTGCTGACAGCCCTTGAAATTATTAACTAGAGATGCAGCGATATAAAAATTATTGCCGATATTGTAAATCAATACTGTATAAATCAGTATTTAAAAACAAAAAAAACATTGTTTACACTAAGGGCCCTATCATACAGTACACCTGGCACAATGCGATGCCAGGCGCGGCGCAAATGTTTTTTTGCTAGTTTCAGCCCGATGCAGTTATCATTTTCACGTCCAGCAAATAACAAATTTACTTGCGCCAATCTGTTCGCCCATGGTCGTGCTGGTCTGAAAACGAGGTGTGTTCAGGCGCATTGTTGGCATGTTGCTATTTTGAGGCAACTGAAAAAGATTGTGCCATTGACCAACTAAAACCTGGTCTAAAGTCATTGGCGCAGTATTTATTTTTTTATTTATTTAGGGGGTGCATTAGTAAATATGTGCTTATAGGCTGATGCACAACGCATGTACACTCTGCTTATTACACACACAGGGACGCGCAGCAGCACACAAACATGCCAAATATTAAAAATGAAAGGATTACAATGTAAAAGATTATTATTGTGTACACTTTTTAACCTTGTGCACGAGCAGATCAGTTTCCTCTCTGGAGAAGCGTTCAGTCTTTGCTCCTGCAAATTCCGCTTTGCGAATCCGCCATGGTGCAAAGCGCAACTGGATTTTAAAGGGAATAGGAGATGAGACTCTGATGGGTTTATTGCACGTTATGCCCAAAAGACACCCATGACTCAATAAGAGAATAGGTACAACCCTTTTGGACCATGTGCCTGGGGCGCTGACCGTTTTTTCCATTGTTAAACTAGCAAAAGTGGATTCGGACACGCCCTAAGTGCACCTGTACCATGTGCTTCAAACCATGCGCTTAGATTGTTAAAATAGGGCCCTAAATCGCCAATCTATAATTTTACAAGATAAAAATACTTGGTAAATAAAATAAATTTTATTTTAGAATTTTATCATTTTAGTGCTCTTGAACAAAACAAAACAAAACACAACACAACACACTAACACAAAAAAAACAAAACTAAAAAAAAAACTAAACACAAAAAGCACACAAAACAAAACACAAAACAAAAAAAACGGGTAAAAATAGCCATCATTATTAACATGGGCCTACTCGGAGCAGTAGCTTTTTAAAAATGCAATATACAATTTACAATATACTTTTTTATACAATATACATCGCCTTCTCAACACTTTGCACGACTATAGTGAAAGAGCAGTTAGAAGTGCTGACAGCCCTTGTAATAACAGCTAGCAATATAAATGATGGCTAACATAAAAAAAAAAAAAAACTAAAGTGCCAGTTTACAGTTTTAGACTAAAAATAATTTGTGAATTGAATCATATTGTAGTACTTTTGGGTAAATAAAATAAATAAACCAAAAAAGCCGTCATTACCAGTATGGGCCTAATCGGACCAATGTTTTTTCCATGCATTCAAGCACCAATATAGAATTTTACAAGCGAAATTAAGAAATCAGACATCAAAGACAATATTGGCTAAAATATGTCCTGTTATTAACTGCTTCCAGATTTGGCTTAATGAGGCGATTGCATTATCTTGGCCAGTATAGTTATGGTCGCAACATATTGTGTATGTTTTTAACACTACATTGAGAACTACAGATCTTGCAGATGGGAAATTTCTTTCATGCTGCGATTTCTGAAAGTATAAATTGATTCTTCCAGATTTACTTTGTGGGATGGTGCACATACACAGCTTCACTGAAAATGCTTTTCTTGTTCCATTTGATGGAATGAATCAAGTCATAAATTGCTACTTTTCGTATTGCCTTTGCTGGTGTGCCAGATTTCCAACGTGTGTGTAAAAGGCAAATCACTCTGAATTTTCCACTGCATGGGCAGAACATGCATATGCTAACATTCACCAGGGCCCTAATTTTCAACCAAAAAAATGTGTCGGCTCTTGTTTGAGGACGTGTGTGTAAATTTGACTGTGTTGTTGTGAGTAGGAAGCAGTTGCTCTGCCAGCTGGAGCCGACCTCTGTGGATGGCATAAGTCTTGCTTCCACATCTCCTTCACAACACTTTGCACCACTATAGTGAAAGAGCAGTTAGAAGTGCTGACAGCCCTTGAAATTATTAACTAGAGATGCAGCGATATAAAAATGATTGCCGATATTGTAAATCAATACTGTATAAATCAGTATTTAAAAACAAAAAAAACATTGTTTACACTAAGGGCCCTATCATACAGTACACCTGGCACAATGCGATGCCAGGCGCGGCGCAAATGTTTTTTTGCTAGTTTCAGCCCGATGCAGTTATCATTTTCACGTCCAGCAAATAACAAATTTACTTGCGCCAATCTGTTCGCCCATGGTCGTGCTGGTATGAAAACGAGGTGTGTTCAGGCGCATTGTTGGCATGTTGCTATTTTGAGGCAACTGAAAAAGATTGTGCCATTGACCAACTAAAACCTGGTCTAAAGTCATTGGCGCAGTATTTATTTTTTTATTTATTTAGGGGGTGCATTAGTAAATATGTGCTTATAGGCTGATGCACAACGCATGTACACTCTGCTTATTACACACACAGGGACGCGCAGCAGCACACAAACATGCCAAATATTAAAAATGAAAGGATTACAATGTAAAAGATTATTATTGTGTACACTTTTTAACCTTGCGCACGAGCAGATCAGTTTCCTCTCTGGAGAAGCGTTCAGTCTTTGCTCCTGCAAATTCCGCTTTGCGAATCCGCCATGGTGCAAAGCGCAACTGGATTTTAAAGGGAATAGGAGATGAGACTCTGATGGGTTTATTGCACGTTATGCCCAAAAGACACCCATGACTCAATAAGAGAATAGGTACAACCCTTTTGGACCATGTGCCTGGGGCGCTGACCGTTTTTTCCATTGTTAAACTAGCAAAAGTGGATTCGGACACGCCCTAAGTGCACCTGTACCATGTGCTTCAAACCATGCGCTTAGATTGTTAAAATAGGGCCCTAAATCGCCAATCTATAATTTTACAAGATAAAAATACTTGGTAAATAAAATAAATTTTATTTTAGAATTTTATCATTTTAGTGCTCTTGAACAAAACAAAACAAAACACAACACAACACACTAACACAAAAAAAACAAAACTAAAAAAAAAACTAAACACAAAAAGCACACAAAACAAAACACAAAACAAAAAAAACGGGTAAAAATAGCCATCATTATTAACATGGGCCTACTCGGAGCAGTAGCTTTTTAAAAATGCAATATACAATTTACAATATACTTTTTTATACAATATACATCGCCTTCTCAACACTTTGCACGACTATAGTGAAAGAGCAGTTAGAAGTGCTGACAGCCCTTGTAATAACAGCTAGCAATATAAATGATGGCTAACATAAAAAAAAAAAAAAACTAAAGTGCCAGTTTACAGTTTTAGACTAAAAATAATTTGTGAATTGAATCATATTGTAGTACTTTTGGGTAAATAAAATAAATAAACCAAAAAAGCCGTCATTACCAGTATGGGCCTAATCGGACCAATGTTTTTTCCATGCATTCAAGCACCAATATAGAATTTTACAAGCGAAATTAAGAAATCAGACATCAAAGACAATATTGGCTAAAATATGTCCTGTTATTAACTGCTTCCAGATTTGGCTTAATGAGGCGATTGCATTATCTTGGCCAGTATAGTTATGGTCGCAACATATTGTGTATGTTTTTAACACTACATTGAGAACTACAGATCTTGCAGATGGGAAATTTCTTTCATGCTGCGATTTCTGAAAGTATAAATTGATTCTTCCAGATTTACTTTGTGGGATGGTGCACATACACAGCTTCACTGAAAATGCTTTTCTTGTTCCATTTGATGGAATGAATCAAGTCATAAATTGCTACTTTTCGTATTGCCTTTGCTGGTGTGCCAGATTTCCAACGTGTGTGTAAAAGGCAAATCACTCTGAATTTTCCACTGCATGGGCAGAACATGCATATGCTAACATTCACCAGGGCCCTAATTTTCAACCAAAAAAATGTGTCGGCTCTTGTTTTTTTTGACCAAACTTCATAATGACATGGTGCTCCGAGTCAATCAACCAAACCCTGACAGTTTCTCTCTGGAGCGTTGGCAGCACATAAGCCCCCCAAAAACCAAAAAGGCCGCTCTACTGTACACATTTGTGTTTGAATGCATACAAGCAGCTGAAACGCAACATACTATTAGCTTATTATGTGTTAATGTGCTGTAGCATTTTGGATACATTAATGGAACATCATCATGTTTATAAGTATTTTGAAGAGATACTAGAGGTAATTAAATTATACGATTGCATAGCAAACCACCATGAGGAAACCTCAGACTGTGACTGTGGTGTGAACTGGTGTTTAATTGTTTGAAGTGCTGGTAACCTTTCTTTTCTCATTGAAACCAGCAGGATTGCTTCACAGTTGAAGGGGAGGATCTTAAACATGACTTTGAGCGCTTGCAGCTGGCTATGGAGATGGTGGGCTTCCTTCCCGCCACGCGGAAACAGTGAGTTTGTCCAAAACACTGGCCCCCTCATGCACATACACAAAAACATTGCATGCAACTTTTATCACTCAAAAAAAAGGAAAAAGTTCTCTATTCCAACCTGTATGGATTATATAAAAAGATGATTTTTATTTTTTTTTATTTACCAATAAGTTAAAGGAATAGTACACCCAAAAATGATCATTACAAGCCATCCTAGGTGTATATGACTTTCTTCTTTCAGACGAATACAATCGGAGTTATGTTACAAAATGTCCTGGCTTATCCAAGCTTTATAATGGCAGTGAATACGGTTTAAGATTTTGAAACAAAATAAAGTGCGTCCATCCATCATAAAAAGTTCTCCACACGGCTCCAAGGAGTTAATAAAGGCCTTCTGTTTGTGTAAGAAACATGAACAATTTTCTTTTCCCTTGCAGGATTTTCTCTCTGCTTTCAGCTATCCTTCATTTAGGGAACATCCGATACAAGAAGAAGATATACCGGGATGACTCCATTGACATCTGCAATCCTGAAGTTCTGCCTGTGGTATCAGAGCTGCTTGAGGTACAGGATCATTGAATCTCAAAACACATTGTTAACTCTACTTTAAGCATTGTCATTTGAACTGACATGATTTCCTTGAGGTCATGTTATTCTGAACCGGCATGTCTTTTTTTGTTAAATGCAAAAGGACTTTTGAAGAATTAACAGTACTGGTCACTCTTTTCAGTGTAATAGTGTAAGAGGACAGGAGCATTCAAGCTTCAATTAGGACACCGAAGTAGCATGAAAGTAGTCCATACAACTTTTTGTTTGATATTCCCCATAAAAATAACTGATTATTCACTGATAATGTTTACCTCCAATGAGCTTTTTACCCAAGAACCACCGCTACCAGTAAGTTCGTTAAACTCGAGAACTGATTTATAAATTAACTGCATTTATTAATTAGCTACATTTGATGAAGAACTTGCTCTGCAACCATTAAAAAGTACTTTCTATCTAGTGTAAATGTGTGTAGGATCAATGAAATCATCTGGATGGGCTCAAATCCGCCAAGTTGTCATGTGACATCAGTTGTGCCGCTTTACAGCTATTCACAGCTCCTCTCCCATGGCCCCATAGTATAGTAAAGTGTCCATCAAATGCACACTTTGGAATCTAGGCTGAAGAAGTAGGTCATCTGGGTGTTTTTCACTTCCTGTTTTATGAATACTATTAATTCGGACATACTGCGGTCATTAAATTATACGATTGCATAGCAAACCACCATGAGGAAACCTCAGACTGTGACTGTGGTGTGAACTGGTGTTTAATTGTTTGAAGTGCTGGTAACCTTTCTTTTCTCATTGAAACCAGCAGGATTGCTTCACAGTTGAAGGGGAGGATCTTAAACATGACTTTGAGCGCTTGCAGCTGGCTATGGAGATGGTGGGCTTCCTTCCTGCCACGCGGAAACAGTGAGTTTGTCCAAAACACTGGCCCCCTCATGCACATACACAAAAACATTGCATGCAACTTTTATCACTCAAAAAAAAGGAAAAAGTTCTCTATTCCAACCTGTATGGATTATATAAAAAGATGATTTTTATTTTTTTTTATTTACCAATAAGTTAAAGGAATAGTACACCCAAAAATGATCATTACAAGCCATCCTAGGTGTATATGACTTTCTTCTTTCAGACGAATACAATCGGAGTTATGTTACAAAATGTCCTGGCTTATCCAAGCTTTATAATGGCAGTGAATACGGTTTAAGATTTTGAAACAAAATAAAGTGCGTCCATCCATCATAAAAAGTTCTCCACACGGCTCCAAGGAGTTAATAAAGGCCTTCTGTTTGTGTAAGAAACATGAACAATTTTCTTTTCCCTTGCAGGATTTTCTCTCTGCTTTCAGCTATCCTTCATTTAGGGAACATCCGATACAAGAAGAAGATATACCGGGATGACTCCATTGACATCTGCAATCCTGAAGTTCTGCCTGTGGTATCAGAGCTGCTTGAGGTACAGGATCATTGAATCTCAAAACACATTGTTAACTCTACTTTAAGCATTGTCATTTGAACTGACATGATTTCCTTGAGGTCATGTTATTCTGAACCGGCATGTCTTTTTTTGTTAAATGCAAAAGGACTTTTGAAGAATTAACAGTACTGGTCACTCTTTTCAGTGTAATAGTGTAAGAGGACAGGAGCATTCAAGCTTCAATTAGGACACCGAAGTAGCATGAAAGTAGTCCATACAACTTTTTGTTTGATATTCCCCATAAAAATAACTGATTATTCACTGATAATGTTTACCTCCAATGAGCTTTTTACCCAAGAACCACCGCTACCAGTAAGTTCGTTAAACTCGAGAACTGATTTATAAATTAACTGCATTTATTAATTAGCTACATTTGATGAAGAACTTGCTCTGCAACCATTAAAAAGTACTTTCTATCTAGTGTAAATGTGTGTAGGATCAATGAAATCATCTGGATGGGCTCAAATCCGCCAAGTTGTCATGTGACATCAGTTGTGCCGCTTTACAGCTATTCACAGCTCCTCTCCCATGGCCCCATAGTATAGTAAAGTGTCCATCAAATGCACACTTTGGAATCTAGGCTGAAGAAGTAGGTCATCTGGGTGTTTTTCACTTCCTGTTTTATGAATACTATTAATTCGGACATACTGCTGGACATCTTTATTGAATAATGAAGATTTAGAATATAGCGTTTCAAGCTCTATATGTTCAGACTTGCCACATTCACCATACACACATTTCAAGATATTTGGAAGAGGAAGACTCGGTTACTTTTGCACAGGATTTGGTCAGCAAACTGGCCTACTCAAGGAAGTAGATTGAGTTCCTGAATGAAGGCCATGGAGCCCTGTACTATGGGCCTACAGGAAATAGGATGTGATTGCCCAGACCCTTTGAACTCAACACATGCATAATGTATGTACATACCTCTCTATACCAGGACCTCTTGTGGCCTAATAGCGTGATCAAAGCAAACCTGGCCTTTATCTGTAGACACACACCGTCATGAATCTCTCTGAAGAAAAGAGAGAACGAACACTCAAGTGTTTTTACATTTGCCCTCAGACAGCAAAGGAAGTACGTACGTGTGTGTGTGTAGGCCTGCTTGAACCTTGAAAACACTGTAATATAAGCAGATGAGGCCAGTCCAGAGCTTTAATGGGCCATTACACATCTGTTCACAATTATAGAGTTGAATGACTCAACATCAGGCCCAAAGAGTTTATTTAATTAGTACATTAGATGTAGACATCTTTGCCAGTGTGCATAGACCAGACACATATTTTTTCACAGTTCACTGCTGGGTTCATTTCGGTCCTTTAATGTGTTAATGAACAAGCGTTGGCCTGTGTTGAGGTCTCTTGATTGTCCACATTGTCTCTGGCACCATGTGTGCAGACTTTGATTTGAAACAGTTGTTGATATACTGCTAAGGCAATATACTGTAGTTTATTTGCTAATATCATTATAGCTGTATTGTTTTTATTTGCTATATTATTATACTACATTATTGTTAGAATATAGAAGTGGATGAATATTACTTCATTGTGTTGCATTGCAGTCTCTCTCTGTCTTAAACAACCCAAAAAGCCAATTTTCTGAGTGCTACCGGATGTTTAAAGGACAATTCAACATTGCAGGCCCCAAAGTCAACAGCTAAAAAGAAATCTTTCTCACGGCCATTAGTGCCGCTTGGTGCTAGTAATGTTTTTCTCCATGTCCATCTATGTAACTAAACACATCTTGAATTAAAGCTGTAGCGTGATCCGTACGTTTCACTGCTGAAGAAACTAGAGATTTTTCGATATAGTATGAATGAATGCAGACTGTACAAGTCCTAGTAGCTGTCTGATTGTGCCTTTGTATGTTAAAAATGAGAAACCTGTCTTGTATCATGATAGGTCAAGGAGGAAATGCTTATTGAGGCCCTGACAACACGGAAAACGGTGACAGTGGGCGAGAAGCTGATAGTCCCATACAAACTGGCTGAGGTAAGAAAAAAAATGGCCTTTTAATTTTGTCATTTAAATGCATTAACCTGCATCATTTTGGATAATGTTAGACAAAAGGTTGTTAAAAGTCAGTCAGGCTGAACCGTTTTTTGAGCTAGAAGGAGACTTTTTTACTTATGTATGACAAAGAGGCATCATGACCTACATTTAGCAATTCATGTTGCATTTTATTGTTAAGGACACATGAGAATCAATCATTTAAAATGACTAAATGCGGTATAATAAATAGTAGCCCAGCTGTGGTGAATGTTAATGTCTTTTTCAGAATAAACCAGATAGAATGATGTTCAAGTAGACACAGTCAATGTCTAAATATAAAGCCTTTTGCGGTCTGTTTTGGGGGCCTTCCTAAAGAGTTACTTCAGTTTTAATTTTTTACATTGCTAATTTTCTTAATTCATCCCTTCACTCAAATGAAGCTCACAGTGAAGTAATGTGTTTCTCAAGGACTTTTTCATGCTCCATCATCATAATTAGAACCAGCTATGGGGTTTTCAGAGCTTTTATCCAGCATTAGGACTCCGTTCTCCTGTCATCTTTAAATAATGGACTGGCAAACTCTTTTATTAAAATCACAGTCACCATTTGTGTAGACTTGATAAATTCCTTGAACTTCATACGCTTACAGATTTACACCCTAAAATCCTTGCAGATATAGAGTCAAGTCATTCATATAACCACACATAAAAGTTTTCTCCCTTTCCAACTAGAGCTGGCTGATATATTGTATGTTCAAGAGATATGCTTGATGACTTTACTGGCGATATCAAATTAACCAACATTGTGAATATTGTCGATTCTCAGTGGCATTTATAACTTATACGGTTATTTTTTCAAACCGCATAAGATGTATGCATCATCTTTTATGCCAGTTTCCTGCATTTAATCAGGAAATTCAGTTAGAATATTGAGACACGGCATGAAAAAATGCATGAAAAAAAACAGCATGCATGCATGTGATATTGTTTAACGTTATATCATATTGCTCTTTTGTTAGTTTTGACTGCTTTTATTGTCCTCATTTGTAAGTCGCTTTGGATAAAAGCGTCTGCTAAATGACTAAATAAAATAAAATAAAAAAATATATATAAATATAAGACAAATGCAAAGGACATTTTGGGGTGCATTTTAACTACATTCTAATAGCATTCATCAATTGTTCACTCTCAAAGGACTTTTTTTTTTTTTCTTTTCTTTTTTTTTGTCAGCTCTCACTTGGTTAAAGCCACTATTATCATACACATCTCCAAATAAAAAGAGTCTGATTTAGTCTGCTGGTGCCTCACAGAATAGACCTTGCTTCCCCAAAATATGGATTTACTTGTCTATCTCACTGAGGCCCAAATCACAAAAGACTCCTACTGAATCACAACATCTCCTACTCTAAAAACTGATGACCACAGTAGTGAGACAGGAGCAGATGTTTGACAGCAGAGACTGAGGGCAGATAACCCTTATTGGTCATGAATGTTGGTTGCATTTTGAGTAGTGCTGATTTGAAAGCAAAACAAGTCTCCCAGGGATTTTCTGTGTGATGTGGACCCAGCACACACAAGGCTTTCATGTAGAAGGATCACATATGGCGCACTGTCATATCTCTGATTGTTTGCGAATGTGTATTAGAGAGGCTGCCACAGTCCTTAATGAAAATCAGTTCAGATTCCTCTTCCAGTTCATCCGATAGTCCTCTAAATCAACACATCTAATCACTGTGGTTGGCCCTTGAAAAAATATTTTCTTTCTGGTTCAGCTGAAGTCAACATTAAGGCTATACCTACAATAGCGTACTCAACTCTGCCGAACTGAGTTTTACGATGGTTAACTAATATGTCTTTGCATTACAGCATGTCATGCCCAAGACAGGATGTGATGATACGCTAAGCAAAACCGAAATCTGAACAAATGTTATTATTCATTGCTAAGACAGCCCATAGACATGTTACCATAAACAAATAATGCCTAAGCAGAGGTTTATCTGCCTAGAATAGTAGTCCCACCTTTTAGCCAGCTCAAATATTTCATTGAAGTGCTTAAGTAGTATTGGAATGAAGTATTGCCAAATATTTGTTTGGTCTCGGTGAACATTTTTGCATTGCATCATCACATTTTCACATCTATGTTGGTTAAAAAGGTCTCTGTCATGATAATTATATCAAATTGATGTTTTTTTCACTCTTTTGCAGGCTGGGACGGTAAGGGACTCCATGGCTAAGTCTCTCTACAGTGCCCTTTTTGACTGGATTGTGTTCCGGATCAATCACGCCCTGCTCAACCAAAGAGACTTGGAAGAATCAGCCAAGGTAAAATAATTTCTGTACCAAAGAATAAGTGCTGGATGTTAGCAGGGGCGTTAGCTTCATAGATGACAGTGGAGCCCTAGTGAGTCACCTGACAGCAATTACATTACACAGCAGGAATATGAGTTTATCTGACAGAGACGCACCCTGTTTTTCTGTGGCTCTCACTGCTTTAATCTCTAAATTATGGATGGAGACATTATGTAATGGGATATATTCAGCCACACTGACTGGGCCCCTGCTGTTATGTAAAATTCATTTGAAGATTTCTGCCGAACATTTTGTTCGAGTAAAGCCTGAGATAAAGTCTAAGCAAGTGAATGAACACAGACCGATCAGGCTACACAAGCTTACTTGATTAAATTGATTAGAATAATTTAGTTAAACATTTAGGGGCACAACTGAAGTTCAGTTTCAACCAATTGTAATATTTTTCAGCTCATGTTAACCTGCTTAGGCCAAACAAAGTAGTTTCGCTTTCACAATGAAACACACAACGTCACACACGGCGGGCTAGAGTGAGCAGCGGCCAGCAGGCTTGAGAATGACGCGGCCGGCGGATTCGACGAAGGAGCAACCACATGCGGCAACCAAAATATCTCTTTGGATTTGAGACTTTAGTCTTTGCAACTTTACAGATCTTCTTTATGCACCAAGAGCTTGTAACACTTCAAAGAGAAAGGAAAAATTGAAATCGCATCATATGACCCCTTTAAACATTAATAAACAGAAACCCAGTGTTTAGTCTCTGAAGTGTAGTTATCGTTTGCACACAGCTTTTTGCACTTGATAGGTTGACTGAAGGCATGAAAAGCAGCCAGTTGCAGTGCAGAATGTAACCGTTGCACATTTGCGAGTTTTTACCAGCCATGAAACTGTATTTGCAGTATTTCATTTAAAAACAGCAGTTACTTCTACTACTTAGGATTTGGGTTAACAAATCTAACTGTGAATATATATATATATATATTTTTTTTACATTTTTCTCCCCCTGATAAATCAGGATCATTATTATAATTATTACAAATATTTTTTATTTATTTTATTTTTATTTATTTTAATCACTTTATTAAATTAAAACAAACCAATAAAGAAATATACTACTAGAAGTAATAATATTGTACTATTAACCCCTTAACTGTCACTGTCCTGAATTTTTAGAATCAAAACTTTTTATAATCTTGACAAAATACATATCGTTGGAAAGGTCTGAGTCTCAAGATTCCATATTTGGTGGTTATTTTGTGATAGATGTAATATTGAGAGAGAAACTGATAGATTTGTGACAGGAATGCATATAAAAATGCATTTTATATGAACTTCAAATTTGAAACACAACTTATGTAGACATATGGCTTTAATTTTATAGCAATTTTGCATTTTTAACTATTTTTTAAAATATTTATTTTATATAAAATAAAATAAAAATAGTACAATACATTTTCTTTACAGTAAATTTAAACTTCTATAACTTTTTAATACTTTCATTTTATTAAATGATAAATCACTTATGAAATAATCTGCCAGTTGTCTTCTTTAAAAAGAAACCAACCATAGGTCTGTATTCAAAAGCGTTCATGAATTATAATAGTGCACTATCCAAACTTAAATTTTCTCGTGAATTTTCAAAAATGGGGATGACAGTTAAGGGGTTAGACAGTAAAAACAATATTAAATAATTAGAATAATAGTAATTCCGGTGGTGATGATATTAATAAAAATAATAAATAGAACTGAAACCGAGCAACATGCTCATAAACACAGTCATGCTTCACTCTGAAAGACGCAGCGTAGTGATTATGCAAACAAAATGTCATTTTATTTGTTGTTTGTTGATTTTTAAATATAAAACTTGGTGAAGTGATTTATGTGTCGGTACTTTTTTAACATCTCCAGCACATTTTAACAATACCATGATATTACTGATAACCGTGATAATTTTGGTCACTATAATCGTGATAATAAATTTTCATACCGTTACATCCCTACTGTAGACACGGTTATTGCTAGTTACCTGACTGATACAGTAACGTGACTATTTTAGTAGTGCAGACATCTGAACACTATTGCCCCCTACAGTTTGTTACTGCTACAGTGACGCAAAAACATGCTTAAAATCGCCTAGCATTCAAAATGAGTACTTTTCTGTTCTTACTATTCTTTCCATCTCATCATCTTATTAGATCCTGTCCATCGGGGTTCTCGATATCTTTGGTTTTGAAGACTACGAGAACAACAGCTTTGAACAATTCTGCATCAACTTCGCCAACGAGAGACTCCAGCACTATTTCAACCAGCACATTTTTAAGCTGGAACAGGTAATGTTTTTTTTCTCTCTTTTTATTTAAAAGCTGGACCCAGAGATAACCATCAGCTTCTCTCCCCACACACAGCTCAAGATTATAGCCTAATAACAGATTTATTGCCAGCAATTATGACTGCACACAGAATAAAATAAGTACCCACAGATTGCTTGACTGAATGCAGAATCAAAGGTTTGCGATCTTTATTTTTGTGTGCTTTCAGCTGTCCTTGAAGTGCATGAATTTATCATCGATACAGCCCAGGGTATACGTTCTACTTATGTAGATTAATGAAAAATATAGGCACACATGTTTTTCATTACTTGAGCATGCTTGAGAATTGCATTAGTATATCTAGGGACCAGAATATAGAAATTTGAGAATGGTCCAATTTTTATTTTGGCCAATAAGCATCCACCTAAAAATGCCCTGGGAATGACCTGCATCCTAGCATTGTGATAACCTTTACACATGCAAACACTGCTCACTTTTTCTTAAGTAAATGTGGAAATCTAGTTTCTCTGAATTGTCTTTTTTTTAACTGTTCTGTGTTTTATGGTAATAAATTTACATTTTTTTAAAAATCAATTCATTATACAAAATGTAACCATTAGAGAAGTCTTTAATGGGTTGGGTTGATGAATGCCTTAGACTGTGTGATCATGTGAGGTAGACTGTCATTAATAGTAGCAGTTTCACACAAAATAAACCGTTTGATAATGAGACAATAAAAAAGGTTGCTTTACTCCAACTTCAGACAAAGAATTGCGTCTCTGTAATAATGTGTTTTCACAATGAGGCCATTCTCTTAGGATGACTAAAGAGGCAGCCAATCATGGTAATGACAGCCTGTCAAAGCCGTGCCTTTGTGACGCACCTCAAAGTATATGTTTGCTCAAAGAGGGTTTAAGTTTCTAGTCAGTCCAGTGTCCAGATTTGATAAACTCACTTTGACAGATTTGCTTGCACAAGGTACATTTATCCACACAAATCACACACTGTCATAGGAAGTGTTGCTTTATGCAGATGTGCAAATAATAGTCTATCACTTGTGGGTTTAGCACTTTATTTCTGCTTAAGTTGAGAAATGATCCCTGTGAGCAAAGTCAAATCTGTTTCACTTCATAATATACCTGTTTTCAGGGTTGCCAAGTTTTCACAAGAAAACACGCCCAATACTCAAAACTAGCCCAATCACGTTTCGAGGGGGGTCCCCAGTTAAAAATTTTCCGGGGTGTAAAATACACGTTTTTTTGGCGGGGTTCCCCTGCTAGAATTCACATTCCATGGGATAAATGTCATGTTATTGTAGTCGCTTTAACCCGCGGACATGAAAAACAACCCGCGGCAACAGTGTTAAAGTAGCCCAATTCCGGGGGGAAACCGCAGACTTGGCAACACTGCCTGTTTTAGGAGTTTCAAGGTAGCTTCCTGCTCGCTGGTCTTCCTATGATTAAAGATAGCGTTATTTTTTGGTGCCATCAGCCAATCAATGTTGTCATGATGTAATTTTCCCTTAAGTCCATGATTAGACACGTGGCATTTACGGCTCAAGTGATTGGTTCAAAAATGTATTTAAATCGTGCCTTGCTGGGAGGTCCTGCTCCAGCCAAGCAACTTCCATTGAGATAAATGGGAACGGTAATGACTTGCTCAGTCTAAGTTCACGCTGAACTCATATTGAGAATTCTGGGTAATTTTGATGCTCTTATTAATGGAATTTTTTATTGGATATATTCGAAAGTCTAGCGAGTATTGCCACAACAGTTTTTCTGTTTGTTCCTTGATAAAAGTGCAGGAATTTTGTTGCGTCTGCCAAGTTCCACGCTTTAATTACTCTAAGAGTTGGAAACTCGTCAGGAATGAGTTCACATCCTGAGTGTATTGCCAAGTATGTCGTGTGGTAACACTGAATGTTTAATATAGACCAAACCCAGGTTATCCACACAAAACATGGAATGTGACAGATTCCCAGATTATGAGCATTAGTTAATGTTTGACTGAAAAAAAGTTCAAGTTAACTAATTTGGTTGCAGTAGTTAAGATTGTTTGCCCGAACTGAGTTCCGTAATTTAAAGCTACAGTTGTAGTATTACTAGTAGAAGCAGGTTAGTGTTAGATTATGAAAGCGTGGCAGGGAAGCAGAAAGTCCCACCTACTTACTTGCCATCTGATGCCCATAAATACAGCCATGCTGGAGCCAGACGCAACACCACACGCGCTTTCATTAGTCCATTAATGGGCTTTTTTTCATTGTGCCATTTATGGAGACGCCGTAAATGTATTTTATTTGATTTGGAGGCTATTTGAGTGCATTTCCCTTATCAGCCAAATAGAGTGCATGTGGTTGCTTGAAGTTTCAGAGCGCTTCAGATGAAGGTTACATTATTAGTACAAGAACACTGTTATTATTACTCATACTTTGAGTTGAGGCTTTGAACAAACCCATAACTGAAAGTGTTAGATTTTGGCAGCACAGTTTTGTGTTTTGCTATGGTTATCATTACGAACAGACGTTCATAAGCTTAAAACATCATTTTCTTTTATCTCTCATTGACAAAAAAAGTCATCAATCTTTATCAAACTTTGTTTCCATGAACAATAGGATTATATCTCATAGAAAAATCTATAGTGAAAAGGTTTCTTGTAAATCTAATCCCCTCTTTTCTTCCTCTTCCTTACACAGGAAGTTGAATGATAAGTGTAGATTATCTGCTTTGTTCTGCTGATTTTATACTTTTGCCTTTTAATGGGCAAATAGGAGAGAGATTCCACTGATTGTATGAAACCCTTCTGGGATTATATCCTTTATTGTTTCATTTATTTTCCCAGTGATCCAAGGAAGCAGTTGAGGAGAAAAAAGCTACAAAATGTTAAGAATGTCTTTCATATTATTAAACCGCAAAGACCACAAAACCTCAGGCCGGCAAAAGGAAGTCTCCTCTAGAGGAACATGAAAACACTTTGCAGGCCTGTTGTTTTGTTGTTCTGGCCGCAGTCCAAAAATGAAAGAATTACCCGTGTAGTTATAACGGGTTTAGTGAGATGTTCAGTTGTACGTTATGCACACATCTCATGTTACTATGAAATAGTCAGGTACTGATAAACTTTCTGGAACATAAAAGGATGTAAACGGAACCTTGTAATTGTCAGAATCTTTGTTAATTCCTCATGAATATTGATTATTAGTGTTGAATATGTTTTGTATTTCTTGTAGGAAGAGTATAGATCAGAAGGCATTGCTTGGCACAACATTGATTACATCGATAACACTGGTTGCATTAACCTCATCAGCAAGAAGCCCACAGCACTGCTCCACCTACTGGATGAAGAATGCAAGTATGTCTGCCTTTTTCTCTGTACACAAATAGAGGAATGAGAGTATGAAACCAAACTGATACAAGTACGATATCATTTATTGATAGTTAGAACAACATGGAATCTCTGCATGTACAGTACATATGAACTGTACTTGAGTGTTTTACCTGTGAATCAAATAAAACAAATAATAAATGTAATGTCTGATTACAGTAGGAATCTAAAAAAACAGTTTTCTCTGTCAAAAAAAAAAAAGAGTAAGGTTCCCTCTGCTTAAAATAGCTGGAAACCTGAATCTTCACATCAGTGTTTTTCATAGCTCAAATCTCTAATGTCTTATTCTTCCTCTTCCTGTGGCTGTGTTGCTTTTCTGCTGAAGTTTTGGCAGCAGCTCTCATTCTTCTCAAGGCCAGAGGAACAGCACAGGTTTATAATATACGGTCTTCAGTAACTCGGTCATGCTCCCTAGATGACCACTTTCACTCTCTGGTTCTCAACCAAGGGGCCGGGGCCCACTAGGGGACCTCAGCAAACTTGTGTTGGACAGCAGGCTGCCTTAGAGCACAGTAATGGAAGCTTTTTTATAATTTATAAGGAATATAAAAAAATAAAAATAGCATATTTTTAAATAAAAATAAAATAAAATGTTTTGCCCCATTAAAACAAAAAATTAAACTGAATTTTTTTAAAAATAATAAAATAAAGAATAAAACGAAGAAATAAATGTACCGAAAGTGAAATCCTGAGCAGCGCTTTCACTGAAATACAGTATATATTGTATAATGGCCCTTCTAATGCACTCTCTTCCTCCTGTATTACAGCTTTCCACAAGCCACCAATCAGACCCTCCTGGACAAGTTCAAGCGGCAGCATGAGGGAAACAGCTATATTGAGTTTCCTGCAGTCATGGAGCCGGCCTTCATCATTAAACACTACGCAGGAAAAGTCAAATATGGAGTGAAGGTCAGTGCTTTATGCAGCTACACACAGGCCTCTTTGGGTTTTAGGATTTATATATCATAATTACAAAAACAATATCTGATTTGTAGGTCAGATAGCTCATACAATTAACATAGTAAACCATAAACAAGCACTAGCAATGTGTGTAAAAACTATAAAACAGTATCCCCTGATTCAGTAGCTTGTAGTACCACATTTCCAGACAACAGTATGATCTGATTGATTGGTTAATAGGAATATTACCAAATGAGATTTTAATAGAAACATTAACCAGTGAGATTTTAGGATTGTTTTCAGACTTGTAGATCATTTGATTTGTTCCAAAACAGGGACTTAAATTCTTAGAATGTCGCATTTTCTCTGTAGTTCGGTTTGCTTTCATAAGGCAGCATTTCAAAGCTTGCACAAAATGTGTAAATGCAAGTCACATGTACATAATACGGTCCTCTCATTGGTCAGAGTGCACCTGTTTATGTTCTGGGATTCCGCTCATAACATCATACATGAAAATGATGTCTGCTCCAACTGATAAATTATATATTTATATATTTTAAGATGAAGAAGTGCGTTTTGGTTTCAACCATTTTCATTTACAAAAGTAGACTGATGCTTTTTTTTGTATCAGATTTGATTGATTTGATACAGTTTAGTTTGTTGGTCAGATTTCTTTCTCACTACAAGCAAACCGCTCCAGAGTTTGTTTTCAATCAGACCGAAGACCACCTATATATATATATATATATATATGTATGTATATGTGGCAAAATCCCAGTTACCATTCTACCAAAAATGCAGTCACCATTCTGTCACTGGTTGTACATAGTTGATAGCTGTTTGCGCTGTGACCTCTACAACACTGAATGTAAAGAGGCTGTGATGTCTTTGTCACATGACTGTATATTTATAGTATATAATGAGTAGCTCAGTTTGTCGCTCATGGCACCATAAACATGACAGTAATGAGTAACTGTGAAATTCCAGCATCCCATGCTGGTCGACTGGCCCTCTGGGCCGTTTTATGTTAACAAATCAAGGTTGGCAATGTGTACCTTTAGTACACTGAAAGATCAGGAACTTCACACTCATTTTTCATAAAGCCTTTTTGTATATATAAAAGTAGTTTTGGCAACAATAACAAACAAGATTTGCTTGGGTTTTTCAATCATGACTGAAATCAAACATTCTGTCTTAAAAGACCGTTCATGCATTGGCTTTTATCCAAGATAAGTCATAACATACAATTTGACAAGCACCGATGATAAAAGACAGAAAAAAAATAACACGGTGTACACCCGGCTTGAGTTTGGCAGAGTTTGACAGTCATGAGTAGCTGATCCTCTTATTTACAATATAAAGCCTCTGTTCATGCGTTACATAATGGAGCTCTGCAGGCCTCACTTTCTCTCTTCACTTATGTTTCATTGGCTTTATTGAGTAGATGAGCCTGTATTGTTTGCTAATAGAGTTGGATGTAATAACGGCGCAGTTATCTGACTGTCTGTATGACTTGCTGTCCCAGGACTTCAGAGAGAAGAACACGGACCACATGCGGCCAGACATCGTCGCGCTCCTCAAGAGCAGTAAGAACGCCTTCATCTGTGGTCTGATCGGTATTGACCCAGTGGCCACCTTCCGCTGGGCTGTACTCAGGGCCTATTTCAGAGCCATGGTAGCCTTCAGGGATGCTGGGAAGAGACATGTGGAGAAACGCAGCGGTGAGTCAATGAAATGGTTACTTTTTGTATTGCTTTTGTTTTTAAATGGCATGCTTGTAGTTTGTATGATGGATTCTTAAGCAATACTTGTCACACTGTACCAGTGTAAATGCATGTACGTATGACTACACAGTTCAAAACCTTGAACCTTAAAGTGGAAGTGAAGCAGTCAGTTAAGTTAACATTATTTAGTAAAGTGATTTCCACTTTGATAAAAAAATATATAACAAACATGATTAATGTAACCATTTTAAAGAAAAAAGGATGTTTTGTTATAGCTTTTAGAGCAAGGGCGCCGCCATCTTGCAGTACCACCGCGTGTGACGTCACGGGGTTGGTTCGCTCCGATGGCCAGTGAAGTAATATAAGCATTTCTTTACATTTTGA